TGTCTTTTGTTAGAGGACCTCGCCTTGAACCCAGGATGAGTGAAGGAGAGAGCTAGACATTTTGTGTGTGTGTGTGTGTGTGTGTGTGTGTGTGTATTCTTGTCTTCTGTTTTCTGCAACAACTAGGAATTATCTGTTTGATAAATATTGTTGTCATTTGCATATCTTTAATTACAAATGAGTGTCTTCATAGTGTTTTATTAGAGTATTATAATTATGTATAACATTTAGGTTCATTTTGGCAAAATTACTCATGCTAGGAATTTGATTTTTTTTTTTTTTTTTTTTTTTGTGGTGCTAGGGATTGAACCCAGGACCTTGTACATTTGAGGTAAGCACTCTACCAACTGAGCTATGTCCCCAGCCCAGGAATTTGATTTCAATCGCTATTTCTTCATAATTTTGTTAGATGTTTAAATTTCAGCTTGACTTGCTTGTTCAGAGCATATTAGATTTCCTGTCTTACTTTTTGATTGAAGGAATTGTTTTTAGATGCTCTTTTTGGGTTTAGACATTGCAAAGTCTTCTCCCAACCTCTCATCTATTACCTTTAGCCATAGTGTCTACTGGTGAACAAAGATAAGCTATATTGATGTTATCCAATCTATTTTTCCCCCATATGTTTTTCTGGAACTACATCCTAGCTTTAATTTTAAATTGATTTTTTTTTAATTTTTAAAAATCAACCTCCTGCAGCTCAATTTATGTTTAATAAAATGCACCTATTTAAAGAATAGTGTTCAGGCTGCAGCTATAGCTCAGTTGTGGAGTACTTGCCCTGCATGAACAAGGCCCTGGGTTTAATCCCCAGCTCCACAAAATAAATAAGTAAATAAAGCATAGTGTTCAGTGAGTTTTGACAAGTCCACAGGGACACCACGTATATGCTCTTTGGTGTCTAGCTTTTTTGTGTGTGGGGTGCAATGCTAGGGATCAAAGCCAGTGCCTCCCACATGCAGGGCAAGGCTCTATCACTGAGCCACATCCTGGGCCTCAGTATAATGCTTTTGAGAGTCAGCATGGTGTTCAGTGTATAGGTGGTCCAGTCCTTTTCATTGCTAGGTAGTATTCCCTTTTATGGATATACCATGATGTGAATCCACTCAGCTGTTGTTTCATTCCTTGTTTATTTTGAATAATTGGCTGTGAATATTTGCATGTGAGTCTGCATGGATATGTCAGGCTATAGGACACGCTGCTCTGAAATATGGCACGTTGGTGTTTGGAAAACAGCAGAGGCAGGAAGGTCACCCTCATCTGGCCCTTTCTCCCCAGAAGCAGGTCACAGAATCTTTGGGTGCCCTTTCCAGACCCAAAGGATAGGAGAGCTAAACACGCATACGGCAGTAAGCATGGAAGAGACTTTCCTTGCTGAGCTGCCCCACACATGGCCTGGCCGTCATGCCCCTGTAGGCCTGCTGTCACGTGTCTCTAGGGCTGTCCACTCTCCAAACCTAAGCCTAAAACCACACACATTTACCTATTTCTTCCGGTCTTCGTTGGCTTAGGAAGACTCCCATATCCCATGAAGTGTACACTAAGTAACCTTTTGTCGCAGGGTGTCACCATGAACCCAGCAATGGATATTTCCCTACAGGTGGGTATTTCCATTTTCCATGGGTGTGCCTAGGAGTACCGTTGCCCGGTCCCATGTTAAATGTATGGTTAATTTTGTAAGAAATTATCCAGCTAATTTGCAGAGTGGTGAACTCCTGCTCTGTCGGAATCGTGTTTCCATCTCCAAAAGAGAGGCAGGGGCTCCTGGGGCTCGGACAGCACTAGTCCTTTTAATTTTGGCGATTCTAGTGAGCGTGCAGTTGCATGGGGGAAGCACTTGTGGTTTAGGTATGATGTCCCCCAAAAGCTCAGGTGTGACACTGCAAGAAGGCTCGGAGGTGCAATGGTCAGACGGGTAGAGTAGATTAATCCCTGGTGGGGATCAGCCTCCTGGTGACCGTGTCAGGTGGGTGTGCCGCCTCTGAAACCCTGAGCTCCAAATAAACTTTTCCTCTTCAAAATCGCTCTTGCCAGTTCTTTGGGTTGGGGGAGATGGAAAATTGGCTGACACTCTCCACCAGGACTCTCACTCACACTCTCCTGCTTCCCTCCCTGCCACCCAGTGGGAGGTGGTTTCTCTCCAACACCAAACATTCTGGGTTCTCTGCAGACCCCAGTCAGGGGTCCCGCAACCCAGTTCAGTTCTGCCACCATCTGCCTGGAGCTGACCCCAGCCTAAGCCACACTTCCAGTGACTGCTGGGCGTGGAAACCCTACCAAAGGATCCTGGGCTGGGGCCGGGCTCAGAGGTGGAGCCTTGGCTGCTGTGTGCAAGCAAGGCCCTGGCTCTGTCCCCAGCACGAAATGAATAAATGGAGTGTTTTTTACTGTAGCAGAAACATAACCGTCCCGTGGCTGTGGTGGTGAGCTCATCTCTGAAGGCTCCACCATCTCTGGCTTCTACCGCTTCTTGATCACAGTGTGCTTGTTCCTTATGGGTTTAGTTTCCTTGAGAAATTATTTCTGGGGTCTCACTGGGCCCTTACAGAGAGGGTGTAGACCTACTGGGTGTGCACAGGCTTTCCTTCTGCACCACTGCTCTGGGAAACCGTGACCCACGGACTCCTTCAGTGCTGCCGTGATTTCACCCTTAGAGCCGTCAGTTGTTGGGGAGGAAGCTTGTCCCCACGGCCTGCTCTGACGTGTGGATGACATCAGACCTGCTTTGAAACAGCTTAGATTATTTGTTCTTTGATGACTGGATAAAACCGTCTGAGCCAGGTCTTTGCTCAGCACCTCTTTGAGCGTATCCTTTTGGTACCTGGTTACCGTTGGTGGTGGGTTAGGTTAAACTCCATCACGAGCCAGTCCTGGTAGACTGGCTCCTGTATCTTGCTCCTGCTGTCCAGTGCCGAAGCACCAGCCCTCTGTGGCCAGTGAGCACTTGGAGTGTAACTCATCTGCACTGAGAATTAAAGAAGTGCCAAACAGACACAGGATTATGATTTCTAAAAAATATTGATTACAACTTGAAACATATTGGACACACTGGGTTAAATAAAATATTATTAAAAGTATTTTCACTTTTTTTTAAATGTGGAAGATAGGGGGGAAATTGTTTTTCCCCCCTTTTTTGCAGTACTGGCAATAGAACTCAGGCCCTTGCACAAGCTGGACAAGTGCTGAACCATACCACTGAGCTACCTCCATCCCTAGCCCTTGCTATTTTGTTTATTTATTTGCTGTCCTGGGGATTGAACTCAGGGCTTCATGCATGCTAGGCAAGTGCTCTACCACTGGGCTGCATCTCCAGCCCCTTTTTATTTAATTTTGAAACAGAATCTTGATAAATTGCCCAGGCTGGACTTGAACTTGCAATCCTCCTGCCTCAGCCTCCCAAGTAGCTGGGATTATAGGCATGCACCACCACACCTGCTAGAAAAAAATTTAATTACCCATGACTCAAACTTGGGGCTTATATTATACATTTATTGGATGAAGTTTCATAGTAAAAAGTTGTGCATAATATTCTTATATATATTTTAATATTTTATATCATTAGTTGTTTTTTTTCATTCTTAATTTTAAAAATCTTCCTTGTCCTTTCTTATCACACTTGTAAAAGTTTGTCTCCTTTTATTGGTCTTTTTCTGAAACAGCTTTTATTCTAGATCTAACTGCTAGTTTCATATAAAATACAGGATACAGAGGGATATGTTAATGCTCTGGGGATAAATCTGTAAAACCAGAATGTTCTCATCTACATGACAATCTGGACGCTTCAAGAAATAAACTGGAAGAGAAAGATGAAAGAGAAGTAAAAAAAGAACAAGAAAAACGAGAACAGAAGGAGCGTTGTAACCGATACATAGATCTGTTTAGGTTCCTGACTTAAATAATCACCTATTAAAACTCGGAATCAACAATTAAGACCATTTGAATGTCCCCTGGATATCTAATGCCATTTAGGAATGATTCAGGTTCATTTTTTAAAAAAATATGTATTTTCTAGATGTTGATGGACCTTTATTTTATTCATTTATTTATATTTGGAGCTGAGAATCGAACCCAGTGCCTCGCACCGGCCAGGCAAGGGCGCTACCGCTGAGCCCAGCCCGAGCCCCAGCCGAGCCCYGCTTCTGTTCATTTTGTGTTCTGATAGTGGCCACCAGTTATGTTAAAAGATGAAGAAGTCCCTCTTTTTCAAATACATATTCAGATATTTACAGATGAGCTCTTCTGTCTGGGTTTTGCTTCAAAATAGCCCATCGGTGGTGGCAGAGCGAGACTGTCCTGGCTCTGATGGTCAGGTGGGCGCTGCCCACACCACTGGCTATGCCTGGTGTGTCCTTTATAAAAAATGAAAGCTGGGGACAGGGATGAGGTGTGGGGGGGACGGGGTGGCTCAGTGGTGGTGCGTGTGCTTAGCCCCCGCGTGGCCCTGCGTCCCTCGTCACCAGTGGAGAAAGAGAAGGAGCAGCCTGAGGCTGGCCGGGTGGCCTTCCTGGTCCCCTCTCTGTCGGGACCTCCTGCTGAAGCTCTGTCCGCCATCTCCCTTTTTCTGGTGGCTTCCTGCCTCACCTGCTCCTCTGACCTGCACTCTGGATCCAAGTCCTTCCCTGGGCCTTATGTGGCTGACATGTCCTGGGTCCCTCTGGTACTTGGTGTGGTTTTCCATGTCCCTCCTGTCGGCCGTCCGGGCAGCAGGGCACAGCACACCTTTCCGAGGTGGCACATCTGCCGTGTGCTGCTAAGCAGCCCGATCCCCTCTCGGGAGGTTGTTTTAGTGACAGAGAGGTCATCGTGGTAACAAGAGAGTGGGGACAATGATACCCAGAGCAGAGCCAGAGGTGGAAAGAAGTGGTTTACCCTCGACCCCGTCCCCGGGCGTGTCCCCTGCTGTGGCCAGACCTGCTCAGAGGCCCTGCCCAGCGTTCCAGTTCCGAGGCGGAACCCTCCATTCTGTTTCAGGCCGCCAGAGCCGCTGGCTGCAAGGGGCCGAGATGAAACTGAAACAAGGGTCCTTCCTGTGGTACCTCTACCTGGACAAGATATACTGCCTGCTGTCCCTGCGGAACGTGAAGGCGCTGATGGAGTACTTCTACCTGCTGGACGTGCACCGCAGAAACACCTTGAACGGTCGGTGCCGCCTGCAGGCTCCCCCTGGCTGGTGGCTGATGCCCAGGCAAACTCAGAGCCAGGAACCGCTGAGCGAGCACTTGTCCTCTTCCAGAGGACACAGACAGGAATGGCCAACCGAGAGTTGAGATGGGTGGCCATTTGTAGGGACTGGGGGAGCAAGCCCGGGGCAAGTCCACCCACTACTAACGGGTGGTCCACCCAACACGCTGTGGTAGTTGGAAGCATCCGCTTCAAGGCTGCTACCTAGAAGAACAGGGGATCCCAGGCTGGGGTGTACTCAGTGGTAGGGCACAGGAGTCCTGGGTTGGGTCCCCAGCGTGTGCGCACTCACCAAGGAGTCCACCTCAGAGGGGACCATGCTTAGCACAGTGCCTGGCGCAGCTGGTGACTTAAGGAAGGGTCGTGGCTATTGTATTATTGGAGGCTGAGGCCCCTGTCAGCAAGACTCTCCTTCTAGCCTGTCCAGTGGGAGCTGGTGTCAGATGGTCCAGTGACCCTTCTGGTGCTGCTTGTGAGTGACCAGAGAACACTGATGGTCCCAGTCCTGCCATCGAGCCCACAAACTAAGAGAAACCCATTAAAACACCTCAGGGTCTTTTTAGCATTGAGTAAAAAATCAGTTATCCCATCCTCGAGTGCACCCCAAACTCAAGAGACTGACATCATTCGTAAGAAGGGTGTCGCCCAGTTGAGATTTCCAAGAATTCATTTAATTTTAAAAAGCAAATGATAAAGGGGCTTGGGACTCGATGGAGAAGCAGGTGCCTAGCTAGCACAAGGCCCCAGGCCCCAGGCTGAGTACAGCATGGCGGAAATAACAAAATCAAGAGAGAACAGCTTCTCCTCACAGCTTAGCGCCTAGCTCTGCCACTCAGCTGCCACCAGTCATCCTCGGATTCCCCCCTGACATAGCAGTTGAGGTTCGTATGTAGCCAAGTTGCAGAGAAGGCAGCTGTGGGCTCCCTGGCTATGCACGAGGCCCGAGGCGAAGACCCAGGGCTTTCTGACTCCACAGCCCACCTGGGTCTCTGGACCGTTTGCTGGGTGGTCTGGTCTCCATAGTAACCAATCATGCCTGGAAGATACACACCTGAGGTCAAGCCAGGAACACTTTGGCTTGAAAGGCTGAAGTCGTGACCCTAAAGCTCACCTGGGGTGCCAGGGTTGACCTGAGTCCTCGGAGCCCAGTGGCCAGAGTGAGCTGGTTTCAAAACTGCATTTATTAAGTAGCTATTAGGTCCCGCAGGAAACCTTTCCCAGGGAGCAAGCACCCAACATCACCTTGGGCGGCTCCCTGCTGTTCAGACCTGGTGGGGCACGAAAAGGAGACCAGGAGGCCATAGAGACCCCCAGATCCTGACGTTGTGACGGTGGGTTCTCTGTGCTCTTAACTTCAGTGGGACTCTAGATGACAAGGAAGGGCTCACATACTCATGGAACCAGGAGGTGGTTTCTTTTTTTTTGGGGGGGGGGCTACTGGGGATTGAACTCGGGGCACTCGGCCACTGAGCCCCGTCTGTAGCCCTATTTTGTATTTATTTAGAGACAGGGGCTCACTGAGTTGCTGAGCATCTCGGTTTTTGCTGAGGCTGGCTTTCAACTTGTGATCTTCCTGTCTCAGCCTCCCGAGCTGCTGGGATCACAGGTGTGTGTCACCGCACCTGGCTCAGGATGTGGTTTCTGTAACCAACAGGCAAGGGGGGATTACACGTTGACAGGTTCACGTGAAAATTCCTCATTGTGACTGTGGACAGCCACACACACTGCATACGTGAATGGCCCGCTGTTAACCCATCCTGTGCTCACCAGGACCTGGGGCCCAGGGGCGGCACGGCATGTGGGGCCTCCTCTCATGTCTACACCATGGTGATTTATCCTGACTGTCTGACTGACTGTGCTTTAATTCATGCACAGAAGATCCGGCTCCACTGTGAAGGGGCAAGGCTGTAGAGTCCCGTCCACCCCATGGGAAGCCCAGCTCTGCCACTCAGCTGCCACCAGTCACATCCCCTGGGAGTGCAGAAATGTGGACCCAGCCTTGCCCGTGTTTCCTGAGTCAGAATCTGTGCTGATAAGCCCCCAAGTGGCTGGAACACCGGTTGAGGGGGTGGTGCCTGCTTCCCTGTAAGGCTGCGGGAGGTCACCGAGGTGTGGTGTTTTAAATGTCCTGCATGTCTGATGGCCACAAGGTCTGCTCCCTTCTCGTCCCAGACAAACAAGTCTGCTTATGTATCCTTGAGGGTCATCGATACTTTTCTAGAAGAGGAATTTTTTAAGTTCCTCTGATTTTAATTATATCAAAATAAAGGCCCAGGTACAATGTTGGCATCTCCCAGAGAGAATTAAACTGTGCATCCCAGGTAGGAGCACACTGTGCCTGTGTGTGTGTGTGACCCTGCCTCCATGCCAGGGACAGGGCTCGGAGCACGTGGCTGGGGTCAGCCCTGACCATAGCCTCCTTCTCCACGCCTCCGGGCCCAATGCTTGTCCACACAGCTCAAGAGAGTGTGGGCCCGAGGGGCTGTGGGAGGAATTGGGGAAGCCAGAACCAACATCCCATCATTCTCCTGCCCATGCAGCGGGCACCGGGCATCCCTGCTGTCCAGGAGGCCCCCAGCTGCTGGTGTTTGCAGCTGCTCTGGACCGACCCTCTCTTGACCGCCCTTCACAGATGTGCTCTTCTTCCACTTCCTCTRCCACATCACCAACCTGAAATCGAGACAGATCAAGATGGTGTTCGACATGCTGGACTGGAACGCCATGGGCGAGATTGGCTTCGAGCAGTTCTACATGTTGGTTTGCATTCTGCTGTCACACCAGGCAAGTAGCGAGCGAGGCCAGCCCGAGGAGGCTGAGCTGGCCGCTGCCTCCACCTGGCCGCTACCTCCCCCTGGCCACAGGTAGCGCTTTATAGTTTTCCCTCCTTTCACTACAAACTAGAGGAAGGAAAAAAGAGGGGGTGTGACTTTAGCTCCTGGATGGTCTGTCCAGAACCTGCAGGTCTGCGCCATGCTCCAGGCAGCCCTGCCCACCTACAGCCCTCCCACAACCCACCTCCTCTCACCTCGGCCCCACCTGCCTGCCGTCCTTGAGGGCTCTCCACCAGTGACCTCCAGTGCCCTGCCAGCCTTCTGCCCAGAGTTTTCTGCAGAATCAATGAAGGGAGGGGCTTCCTCCAAGGTCCGTCTGCTCCACGTCCAGTTCTGTGGACTTGCACCTTTCCACTCCTTGAAAGGGACCTCGGGTAGTCAGCCCCACCCAGTGCCACCGTGTTCCCCAGGGTCTCCCGGGTGAGGCAGTGGGCTGCTGTAGCTGCAGGATGGCCAGCTGATGTCCCCTGCGGGGCGCAGCCCCTCGCGTGCAGCCCTCCAGGGAAGGTGCCGACTGAACAAGCCCGGGGCTGCCGTGTGTGGAAGGCAGGCCAACCCGTTCCCGTCTTACATATTTCTTTCAAAACAGAACCATCTGGAAGAACAGTTCATGTACCGCCATTCGCGGCCTGTGTTCGACCTGCTAGATCTGGATGGGGACCTGAAGATCGGCCCCGACAACTTCTGCATGTACAGATTCCTCTTCAACATGGAGAAACAGGAGCTCAAAGAACTCTTCCACGACTTCGACATCACGGGCGACCATGTGAGTGCAGCGCCCTGTGCTGGGCTGCGTCTGGACCCCAGCCCTCCACGTACCTGGCCGGGCAGGGCATGGGAGACTGCAGCCCAAGGTCTGGGCCGGGATCCGAAAATGGGGGATAGGGGCACTGCTCCTGGAGGCAGGGATGGGCTCATGCCACGTGGTAGACCTGGAAGCCCCGCTGCAAAGTGAGAGTACGCGTGTCACAGGGTGGCACTGGCTGGGAAAGGCTTATAGATCTGAACTAGCAGAAAGGGGGAATTCTAGGATGGGGTCCAAAGAGCGAAGTCCTAAGCAGGCCATGGTGGAGACGATGAGGTTGATGAGGTTGAGGGGGTCCCTGCTGGGCACACGGGGAAGCTGAGGTGGAAAAGGCTGGATCATGCTGGGAAGAGCCCTGGGGGCTGCCCAAGCATCTGCCCTTGACCCTTGTCCCCCTAAGAGTCCACAGAGGCGCTCTTCCTGGGCACTAACTATTATCACACTACAACCATGTCCTAATCACTGCGTCTGAGTTTCCAAATTTCTAAATACGATAATAAGCCTATTGTCATGCTAGAAAGTAGCCAACCTTCCTGAAATAATTTCTTTTTTTTCTCCCAACTGAAGCGTCTTAATTACAAAGAATTTAAGCTGTATACAATCTTCTCCACGGACAAATCCCAGAATAAAGGGAAGGAGAAAAAGAACTTGAAATTGAAATCCTCGCTAATGAAGAAAGTCTTCCAACAAGTTGGCATGAGCCATAAGTCTCTTGGAAAAAATGAGATCCAGAAGTAGAGAATATCATTAAAATGACAGTTGTCACATGTCTAAGAATAAATATGAGCATTCACGCAGGCCTCGCTGTCCACTTCCATACAAGGAGGGTCCAGGTGAACTCTGCTCAGTTGGCAGGATTGGCAGTTCTGGGGTGCCAGGACAGAGCCCGGGGCCGTGCACCCCAACTAGCAGCAGCTCAACCTCAAGTTACTGTCCTTCTGCTGACAGGGCTGCTCTTGAGATCAGCTCTGCTCACTAGGGCCCTGTGTGTGTGTTCAGGGTGACCAACACTTCCTGGAGCCAGGCGGCTGCAGGGCAGAGCTCCCCTGATCTCTGCTGCCAGGTCCAACCCTCACACCTCTACTCTCCCCTTCCTTAGGCCTAGACCCCTGGATGCCAGGCTGCACACTGGCCAGGGGTGATGTGCCTCCGTGTCAAGAGTTGGCTCTAAGGACATGGAGGCTGTCTTGTTCTTTTCTTTCTGAGATAGGGTCTCAGTATGTTATGCAGGCTGGTCTCCAACACCTGGACTCCAGGGATCCTCCGGCCCCAGCCTCCCTGGTGCTGGACTCTGGGCGAGTGCCGCTGCCTGGCTCAGCTGTGTTCTCAGAACCCGAACTACTCTCTGATGAGTTAGGTGTTGACTAGAGTAATCATGGCGTGCCCTGTATACTTTTAATTCTTGTGTAATTAATGCTTTGAATAATTTGAAAGTATTTTTGGCATTAGGCTTGTGACATCTCCCTGGCTGACTGGATCATGACTTTAGTAATGGCAGCTGTCTATAATATGCTTGCTATGGGGTGAGCAGTGACTCACATGACCTATGTATTTTTTTTCCGGTACTGGGGATGAACCCCCTAGGGTGCTCTATCACTGAGCTTACATCCCCAGCACTTTTAAAATTCTGAGACAGGGGCTTGCTAAATTGCCCACACTGCCCTTGAACTTGAGATCCTCTTGCCTCATCCTTCCAGATAGATGGGATTACAGGCCAGGCCACCATGCTGGCTTTGTTTAGCCTTTAAACCCTGTCAATCAGGTGTCACTACCATCAATTTATAGATGAGGAAATTAAGAACCTTACCCAAGAACACATGGCTCATGCTGGCAGAGCCAGGGCTCAAATTCAAGGTCAATTAAGCCAACCTGTCTTACCAGCAGGGATCTCAGTAACTCACTTCCTTTTAGCAGATTCTGTTTAAGTTTAAAGCTAGCAACTCATTGGGTCAGAAATCTCACCTGCTTAATATTAATTACAACTCTTACCACAAATCTCTGAGGAACAAGTTTTGGGAGTGAAGAAATATAGGTCGTTTACTATAAACCAAGGATTTCTTATGGACACATTAAGTAATGCTGACCTGAAGGCCAGTTCAAGCAGTTCCATCATGGAAGGTCAAATTGGATCACAAGGTGTCAGGAGCAACTGGCAAGAACACTGCCCGCTGGAGACTATCATCATCCCTCCATCAAACTGGTACTAGGAACTGTTAATTTCTATGAATCCTCTCCATATTTCCTCTATTAGACATGGTTTTCTTATTACATTTTTTTTTTAGTTCTGGATGATCATGATCCCTTTATTTATTTTATGTGGTGCTGAGGATCGAACCCTGTGCTTCACACAGCCCCAGCCCTAGAAAGAGGGTTTTGATAACATACCTGTGACCACACTCAATGTCATTGTCAGCAAAAAGATCTTCTCTTTCTCGAAATGGTACCATAAAAACTGGATGGAACTAGCATAAAAAAAAAACAGCTGCAGTCACATCTGTTTCCCACATAGGGACAACAGCATCTCTCTCCTGGAGTTGTTAACACCCAAAAGATGCACTGCCTCACAGCAGCGCCTTCCTTCCTCTGACCCGAGGTCCACCCGTGCCTCATCACCTCCCAAGGCCAACAGCTGCACCTCGCCCTGCTCCCCAGCCCTTTCCCCCCAGCTTCTCGCTCCCCAGCCCTTGACCCCACTTCTTGCTCCTCAGCTCCTCACACCTGCACGCATAGCCCTCCAGCTCCGCCCCTTCTGGGGCAGCCTCCATGGCTTTTGCCACCAGACAGCCCAGGAGCTAGGTGTGGTTTGGAGGAAGAAACCGAAGTGTGAGTTTCTCTTCCACCTTCCAGGGTCGGTCCTGAGGTGCAGAAAGAACCATGGGCTGTGATTTTTCAGACGTGGCCACTAATGCCACCAAAATACTGAATCCTTTGTTTCAGAAAGGGGCAGGGAGGTTTTTAGTTTGAGTCCATCCCATTTGTTGATTCTTGATTTTATTTCTTGCACTATAGGAATCTTATTAAGGAAGTCAGGGCCTAATCTGACGTGATGAAGATTTGGGCTACTTTCTCTTCTATTAGGCGCAGGGTCTCTGGTTTAATTCCTAGGTCCTTGACCCACTGTGAGTTGAGTTTTGGGCATGGTGAGAGATAGGGGTTTGGTATCATCTTGTTGCATTTGGATTTCCAGTTTTCCCAGCACCACTTGTTTAAGAGGCTGTCCTTTCTCCAATATACATTTTTGGTATCTTTGTCTAGTATAACTGTATCTATGTAGGTTGGTTTCTGTGTCCTCTATTCTATACCATTGGTCTACCAGTCTATTTTAGTGCCAATACCATGCTGTTCTTGTTACTATTGCTCTATAGTATAGTTGAAGGCCTGGTATAGTGATGCCACCTGCTTTACTCTTCTTGCTAAGGATTGCTTTAGCTATTCTGGGTCTCTTATTTTTCCAGATGAATTTCATGAATGCTTTTTCTAAGAAATCATCAGTGAGGTGAAGAGAGAGCCTACAGAACAAGAGCAAATTTTTACCATATGCACATCAGATAGAGCACTAATATCTAGGATATATAAAGAACTCCAGAATCTTAACACCAAAAAACAAATAACTCAATCAATAAATGGGCCAAGGAMCTGAATAGGCACTTCTCAGAGGATGATATACAATCAATTAACAAATATATGAAAAATGTTCAACATTTCTAGCAATTAGAGTAATGCAAATCAAAACTACTCTAAGATTTCATTTCACTCCAGTCAGAATGGCAGCTATTATGAAGACAAACAACAATAAGTGTTGGAGAGGATGTGGGGGGAAAAGGCACACTCATACATTGCTGGTGGGACTGCAAATTGGTGCAGCCAATATGGAAAGCAGTATGGAGATCCTTGGAAAACTTGGAATGGAGCCACCATTTGACCCAGTTATCCCACTCCTTGGTCTAAACCCAAAGGACTTAAAAACAGCATACTACAGGGACATAGCCACATCAATGTTTATAGCAGCACAATTCACAATAGCTAAACTGTGAAGCCAACCTAGATGCCCTTCAGTAAATGAACGGATAAAGAAAACTGTGGTGTGTATGTATGTATGTGTGTGTATACACACACACACACACACACGAATATTACTCAGCATTAAAAGAAAATAAAATCATGACATTTACAGGTAAATGGACAGAGTTAAAGAATATTGTGTTAAGTAAGCCAATCCCAAAAAAAACAAATGCCAAATGTTTTCTCTGATGAGGATGCTGATCCATAATAGGGGGCAGGGGGGACATGGGAGGAATGGAGGAACTTTAAATAGGGCAAAGGGGAGGGACGAGAAGGGGGAATAGGGGGATAGGAAAGATGGTGAAATGAGATGGATGTCATTATCCTAAGTTCACGTATGAAGACATGAATGGTGTGACTCTACTTTGTGTACAACCAGAGACATGAAGAATTGTGCTCCATATGTGTGCTATGAATTGAAATGCACTTTGCTGTCATATGTAACAAATTAGAACAAATAAATACACTTTAAAAAAGAAAAAAAGGGGGAGAGGCAAGAATGAGTCAAAGATAGGAAGCATAATTCTAAGACAAGCTTTCCCCTCTTACCTGGAAATCAGGGTAGCTACAAAAGCTAGTGTGAATTGGCTCAGATTTTCAAAATCTTCCTTTTAAAAGCATCTCCATAAATGGGATGGTTATAGAATGGTATCAGGAAAATGCATTTATCTCTAATGGGTCCAAACTGAAATTTGGTATAAAAATGAAAATTTAAATGCACCAGTACAGTGGCACTCCTTTGTGACTAGGAGTACAAAGAAAACAGCCTATCAATACCAACTTTAGGTACTTTTTTTCTCATTTATATTATGTGACTTAAAACATTTTTCAGATGTGCATATAGACCTGGGAGTGCAGCTCAGGGTAGAGGGAGTACCTTGGCATGTGCAAGGACCTAGTTTCAATCCCTAGCACTGCAAAAAAAATAAAGTGTATGTAGATCGTTTGAGTTAATAAACTGAGTGTAGATTAAGTTAATAAACGGAGTTTCCACAGTCGAGTTGGAATTTCTCGGTCACATGTATGTTCCAGGGTGTGGTCCATCCATGGAGGGACAGGAACAGCAGACCTGATAGATGTGGGCACAGCTACCTTTTCAGCCCAGGGCCCTGGACAGGCTCCTCTGTGATCTGTACTAGCCATAAGTATGGAATTCTGAAGGGAGCTAAGGCAGCTAAGCCACCCTTCACTAGCGCTCAGTCTCCCGTTTGCTCACCACTCTAACCTCTGACCTCGAAGACTGGCAACCAGAGAAACTGTGCTGACATTTGCCAAGATGGGACCCTTGCCACCTGAGCAGCCTGCACTTCATCCCTTCAGGGGGATGACAGCCTGAAGGGGCCACATCATTAGAGACCCCAATAGAAATAAGAGGAGACTGGAGCAGGGGCCGCCAGCTGCTCTCCTTCCCTCTCCTCCCCAGTAAGAAACTCGGCACAGCTGCTGCTAGTCTGTCCAGTAGGAACATCAGTAAGAAGCACCTTGCGGGGCCGGAGCTGGGGCTCAGTGGTAGAGCGCTCGCCTTGCATGCCTGGAGCACTGGGTTCGAGCCTCAGCAACCCATAAATAAATAGAATAAAAGTATGGGTCCACCTACAACTAAAAAAAGAAGCATATTGTGTTTAAAAACTACCAGAAAACAAGAGCTCCCCATTAATGGGACAGATGGAAAAAGCCTAATCAGGACTGTCACCTCACTCCTTTCCCAACCCCACAGAGATCTCTGAAGTCTCAGAGGGGGAAGGGAGAGTCTTCTCACCTTGGTGTGTTTGGACTGATGGTTTCACAGGCACGTGCTGCCTGTTCTGAAAACCATTTAAAAATCTGAACAAAATCAAACCTGTTACTTTGATCCAAAAATGGATAATAAATGAGCTTAGAGATTCCGAAAACCTGAACTGTGAGTTGATCTGCAGGATGATTTTAGGAGAAGAGAAAACCAGCTGATTCAGACCCAGGCGTCAGTGCAGAGGCGAGGCGTGTCTGCAGCACTGTGCAGGAATCGGCCCAGTGAGCCTGAGGGGGTGACGAGGACCTTGATCTTTACTGGGCTGAGGCTTCAAGAAGGAGGAAACCTTCACACACTCATTAGAACATGGCGGATCACCCTTATGGGGAGAGCAACAGATAAAACCCCAGAATAAAGGCAAAGACAAAGAGAAAAATTTAACTTTTTTTTTTTTTTTTAAAAAGCACAAAAACCCTACATACTAAAATTATACACATCAAGTATTGGTCCAATCTTATATCAATCTATTAACAATTAAACAGCACCATGGTTTTCTTACCTAGGTTAAACATGCCCAGAAAATTATTATTCAAAGTATATGTTCCTTTAAAATAAAATAACTCTTTAAGAGAGAGAATCTTCAACAATC